CCATCTCTGCCAAATCTTCGTTTATCAATATGGCAGCATCTGGAAGCCAGGCGGAGTCTGCGATTCGATTTTACGGTGCGCGTGGTCCCACCTACGACGATAGCTGGCACCCCTTCTTTGTGAAACGCTTCATTTCGTACGTCGGACTATCTCCTGGCCAGCAGGTACTGGATCTAGCTTGCGGAACAGGCCTAGTATCATTTCTCGCCGCAGATGCCGTGGGGCCTACTGGCAGCGTACTCGGAATCGATGTGACTAGAGGTATGCTTGCTCAAGCAATAGCGAGACAAAAAAGAGATGGCGAGAAATACGCGCATGTACAGTTTCTGGAAGGAGATGTGCTGAATCTGGAGGTTATCGAGGCTTTGAAAGGCCGCACCTTTGATGTCATTACGCTTGCTTCAGCTCTCGTTTTGTTCCCAGATCCGAAGGCTACCGTGAGAAGCTGGACTAAGTATCTGAAGCCAGGCGGGCGTATTGCGTTGGATAGTACGCATCCTAGAAACTTAGTATCCGGGATGGCCTTTGAGGCAATGGGGAGGAAAGTCGGCATTTCGATACCCTATTACCGGTCATGGAGCCAGTCGGAGGATGACTTGCGAGCTGTGCTGGAAGCGGCTGGGCTAGAAGTTGAGCAGATACTTACGATCGATGACCAGAGCGGATACGGGAGACGATACTATGAATTGTCCGATGCAGATGACCAATTCGTGAGCAAGGCCCTCGCCGGGGATATGATCACAAAGTTTATAACTCCGGAGATCCGGAGAAAGGCTCAAGCCGCCTTCAAGGAGGAATGGGGAAAGATGGCGGTGGATGGAAGGGTTGAAGAAGTGGATACTGTATTCCTTGGGATTGCACGCAAACGTACCGCTCTCTGCCGAAAGCCAGAACATAGCTAACGTCCTTGCAGCGACCGACGGCCCAAAGGCCGACAGGCCAAAGAGCGACGGGCCGAAGAGTGAGGCGGTTTTCTCTGGAGGATGTCGCTGCCAAGGCGTGCGATATCAGTGCATTGCCCTTCCATCAGGGATTACGTACTGCCACTGTCGCGCATGTCAGCAACTTTCCGGAGGGCCATACATTCCGTTCGCCGAGGTCGCGTCCAAGTCCTTCAAGTACACCTCATCTGCCTCCCTCAAGACTCTGAGGCTCTCCAACATAGCCGAAAGAACTTTTTGCTCGTCTTGTGGGACCCCTATCGCGATGGTGTACGATAGGGAACGAGAAGGCTGGACTAGCGTGACTATGGGATCCATTGACGCGGAGAGTTTCACGTGCGAGCTTCCGAAAATCCGCAGACACATCTTCACGAAAGAGAAGGCTCCGTGGTTCGAATTGCCAGACGATGGGGCTCTCAGGCAAGACACGATGTGAATTAATGGCATGATGTAAGCCATCATGATCGAGTCCGAAATCTGCAGCCGAGCGCAGGGTGAACGGTGGGCACCAAATCAGCGTAGCGTCACAGGGTAGGATAACGGTACTGATTGGATCTGTTCAGCCGCTTTCTGGAAATGTAGACGACATCGAATGAATACAGGTGTCTGCTTCAAAAGATTACTCCAAACGAAGTTAGCGTTTCGGATGAAAAGTTGTTATCGGCTCTCCGGGGATGTGCACAATTCAATATGGTGCAGAAAAAGATCAAGTGCATCAGGGCTCGTGTGTTCAAGCCGATCGCACAAGACTGACATTATCAAGCAAGAGTCCGTCTACTCTATACGCCACTTCCGGTGATTGGCATCGCAGGGCAGACGAGGAGCGACGTGGTCGTGAACATGTGGGTGAGAAGTCCGTATCCGCAGAACATGATGAATATTGTTTCCGACACATGGCACCCCAGGAGAGGTGTAGAGAGAAGCGTAGGCCCGAAACGGTCTAAGCAGAAAAGGCGAACGGTGTTTCACCACTGATAGAGTCGTTGCATCGATAAACAAACTGTTGTTGATGTGCCGATGGAGATTCGCGCCGAGGGCCTGCCACTGCGCACGCAGCAAATGAAAACAGCGAAAATGTATACCGACTGTATGACGCGGCAAAAGCTGCCGTCTTCAATTTTCTACTCCAGGGATTAAATTATTAATATTGCGAAACCTGTTGGGGATGGACGTTTGATGTTTGCGGATGACGAGGCGGGATGGCTGGGTGGCGTCGAGCCCCTGCCACTTCGGTTCCCGCCATCAAGATTCCAAGAAACGTCCAACCTCCATGGATTCCAGCTAAAAGACCGGCCACCCAGCAACGGATCCGGTCTCCCTTTGCATTCAGTTTCTGCAGCGACAATTGCACTACCTTTTTGCGTCACATTGTGTCACTTTGTCTCTCTTCGGTCCCAACTCTCGAGTCCGACTGTCGAACCATCCACCAATCACGAAACCCAGCATCCTTGCGTATTATCGGACAAGGAAAGCTCGATATCACGTTTCAAGCATCGACGTCTCCACCTTCGCCGTCCGCCACTACAGATTGAAGGGCCAGAAGGCCACGAAGAGGGCAGATTCCTGGGTTCCCAATCAGGGCGCGGCAGCCGTTCCCACCCTCGCTTCGGCGCCATGTCCTTTAACCATGCATCTCCCCGAAGCTATCCGCCGCACCTGCACCAGACCCCGTCCGCGTCTCATGCCACCCACTGCTCGCTGCGAGGAGGAGCGCATCCCCTGAAGCAGAATCCGCCATCCATCCTCGAAGAGGATTCGTCCACGTTTGAGGAAGTCGACATCCACGAACCCATCCGCCCGCCGCCTTCTGCTTTGACAGCTGCCACCGCCTACGACCCGCACCAGGCCCAACTAGACGACTACAACGCCTCACATCACATTGGCCACCAGCGATCGTTGACGGACTCGTTCTTCGACAATTGCAGGCCTCTAGTCAACAGAGCTACCTCGACCATACAACAACATACTTCCCGAACATCGTTTCATTCGCCAACCAAATCCCTCGCTAGCTTCATTCCCTCGAGAACCGCCATCGAGTCGACGGCGTCCCAGCCAAAGCTCAAGGCCGGCGCGAAAGTGATTAGCGACTGGTTCAACGGCTCTTCGGGTCCTGTGAACTTGGGCCTTGGTCCCCCTCGCCGGGCAAAGAATATCCAGACCACGAGTACGAGTCGGAAGAAGAAGACGAGGGCAACATGATGGCGGGCATCTTCAATCGATCCCCGGGTCTCACTCGCAGTGCGACGGAAACAACACCGAAACAGTCGAGGCCCACATCCGCGCAGACGCAGACTCCCACAACCGGCAGCAAGTTTGCCTGGCTCTTGTCAACGCAGAAGAATGCCGCACTCCCTCCACCAGTGCCGTCTCCAACCTATCACAATCCGTCTGACGAACTCCTCACCCTGAAAATTTCTCAGACTCTCTTCCCACATGGCCCCGTCGACCCCCTAGACCCCTCTGCATTCCACGATCTCCTCTCGAATGCCGAGACCCTCCTCACCCGATACCAAAACTCTTACCGCGCCCTCTCATGCGCCATGAGCGACGCCCGAGCCGAACAAAGCGCCCAAGACGACGAGCTCGACGAGGCCGAAACCCGAGTCCGACACTTGAAGATGCAACTGGAGACGATGGCGTCGCGGGCCAGCGAGCAGGACGCCCAGATGCAGCGGCTAATGGAAGAACTCACCTTTGAGCGTCGTGCGCGTAAAGAGGAGGAAGAGGCTCGCAAACGTAGTCTGGCACTTATCCGAGGCCCGTGTCCCGCGCACATGAGCTGTGGAAGCGACGTTGCCGGCCCACGGCGCAGGAACCGGGTCTCCAATTCGGACATTTCTGTCGATTCTGGATTCGAGTCGGAGTGCGAGTCGGAAGCGGCGAGCATCTTCTCGCGTGCGAATCGCCCGATGAGTCCTACGGATACCATTCCGTCGTCGGTGGGAGGATCGGAGCTCGACTCCCCGATAGATACTACACCCAAGGGGAAGCGACCGCAGCCGTTTGAGCGACGTAGCATATACGACAAGGTCCTACACGATGGCGCGGAGTTTGAGAAGGGCAGCTGGGGGTGTTCGAACTGCGAAGGTGGAGCTCAAGCCGCGGTCTGGGGCCGTCTGGCGAAGGAGCGCGAGGAGTCTAGCATTTTGCGCCGCAGGGTCGCGGAGTTAGAGGATGCTGTTGAGGGCGCTTTGAATGTGGTTGATGGGCCGTGGGGTATGTAATTTGTGCTATTGTTGTTCTTCTTCGTGTAGATATCTTCTAATAGGTTAGAAACGGAGCTTCGAGCATTTATGAGGGCGCTGAGCGTATGCGCATTTTCAGAGGGCATGGCTAGAGATAGGGATACCAACCACTGCATCAGCGTAGAGCGCTGCGATTTAGGGTGCAATATTTGTCTGCTGTGTCAAACTATATTCTCTAGCATTTACGCTGTTGAGCCGGCAAGTGATGAAGGCGTTGGTATCACAAGTTACAACATCCCAGATGCGAGGCCAGAAATGCAAACCTCCCGCCCTGAATCTTAGGTCACTGCGATCCACGAGCACGGTCCACACGTCCACTCTGGCTTCCTGAAGTCCACATCGGACAAAAGATATCTATCAAAGAGTGAGAGTGTTTCTGCGGTGAAGCAACAACGTAGTAACATGCAACAAGATAGCATTTCAACGCCTGTCTACCCCCAGTCTGTTAGCCATGACCCTTTCCTCGGCGTGGCGTAATGGAGCAAAAAAGAGTACACATAAGTAGAAAACTAAAAATCTCTTCTATAGCACAGCAACGGGTTAGTAACAGAGCAATTGTCACGTCTGTGAATTGTTAGGTCTGTCCGCCGTGAATCTTTGGGTCCTTGATAGAAAACGGGACAAGAGTCTGCAAAAAGCAGACAAAAATATCTCTAATACATGAAGGAAGCGTAGTTATTTCTAGAGTGCGGTGTCAGGTCAATGACAGCGCAATTGTTACGCCCATATATTCTTTAGTTCATGAGCTGTGAGGCCGTCCGTCTATGATACAAAATGTTGACATAAAAGGGATCAAATAGCAAAAAGAGACTTTTGCATCGGCCGGGAATCGAACCCGGGGCTAGCCGATATTGCGGTTGGCAACGGCTAATTTTACCCTGAGGAGTCGTTAGAATTGATTGTGAAGAAAGTGGGAAATCGGAGCGGCTCACACTAAACCACCGATGCGGACGACTTTCACGATACTGGATTTGCTAATCCAACGAATTATGAGAGATGCGAAAAACTATGGGTATATAACTGCGGTGGGGGAATGTCTCGACAGTAAGGCGTATAAAGCTAGTGGGTCGAGATTCTAGCGAATTTTTAAAGTATGTGCGTTAACTAGAGCGCTTTCTATAGTGCTTGCTCTACTCTTCAATTACCCTGCTACTTGTTATATCCTGTCTAGACTATATTTACACTACCTTTTAGGTATCTAAGATAAGGTTATATAGTTTTCATCAATTTTCTAAATAGTTTACAGTCGATTCAATTGCACATACATATTGACAAAAGCACGTTGTAAGGTAACTGTAAGGTTGATACCGAAGGCCAAAGATATTCCTCAAAAAAAGTAGCTTCTTCGTAGTCACGTATGACTGCCGCGAACGCTATCAATTTTGCCCTTACACTCAGGAATCGTCCAGGTCTAAAACGTGACCTGCTTCGCACCGCTAGGGCAGAGCACAACCTTGGAAGTTCGCATAATACCTAACATCGCATGAACACCATACCCACTCATTAGTCTTTCTCTATATATTAACTTCTTTCTTGTAGGAACAATAGTTTAGCAGCTTAAAGGCTATACCACGCACCTATAGAGGTACCTTAAGTAACATGCCTCCTTTTTGCTACCAGCATTTGCCAAACCTATTAACATCACGATGCTTAAGCTACACTGTTAGACCCCCTGTCTAAGAAGACATACATTCGTTTTGATGTGAGAGTCTAAAACATGGTCCTGGGAGCTGCTAAATCGAAAATAAAACCTGCCTTTGCCATGCACAACTCGGGCATGCCGCGAGTAAGCTGTAATGGGTAGCAACTGCTACAACTCGGCAACCAACCAAAATGGTGGTGAGAAATTAGTGCCTTTCTCGATAAGGGATATCCTTGCTAAAATTCTATTCTAGTGGATCCTTGCGATATCCTGCTACTTGTAATTTCTCATATCGCTTTTGATATGCAAAATGCGAGCGGGTTCCAAGAAGCTGTGCCACGCGTTTCCAATCAGGGGATTTCATAGTCTGTACTGCATCCCCAAGCTTCGTGTCTTCCGCAGCTGACCATTCAGCGTTTAAGCCAGAGGCCTTCGCAGTCTTTTTCTTTTTTCTGTTCGACGTTTGTGATACTGTAACATGGTCGATTAATTCAGTACCACTCCGCAATGCTTGCACACCTTCCGATGGTGCGAGTAGTCGAGGTGACTTCAATGGTTCTAATGGAACTCTGACGCCGAGATTTCTTTCGTCTGTTTTTAGCTATGTTAGACCGTTGTATGTCGAATTGCCTGACGTCAGAATCTACTTACACAACATTAAACCATTACTAGGTTTTGGGGCTCCAATTATTCTTTCGATCGCCTCACATATGTTCTCGAAGTCTTCCTCTGTAGGCTTCCTAAACTGATTTATGTAGAAATGTATCCGTGATAGCGAGTACTTGCGCACCCCATGGGATAAATCGAGGCAGTTAGACCACTCGCTAACCAGGAATCTCTGTTATGACTGTCTGGCTCAGTAACACGGGGGGCCATTTCCCACACCTACCGTCCGATCTTTTCTTCCTACAATCTTACCTACGTTGCTTGACTTGAGCTCATAAAAGCACGTAACCGCGAGCTTGTTTACCTCCAGCCGCGTCTTCCTGAACTGATTAACTAACTCCTGAAGGAACTCGTTCCCCGGTTGCAATATCTTCAGGACCTCTGGTCGCACTTCATCTTCATGGTATTCCCTTAGTGCCGCCTGCAGCATCTCCGTTTGGCTCATTCCCTCCGCTCCTCGAAATGGCGTGCCGAGGAAGACTAAGCTGATGGTGGATGCGAACACGCCTGGCCACTCGTTCTTGTCCTGCCGGGCGTCAAGAGTGCCTGTGAACTCTTAGTAGGGCCAGTCATTTCCAGTTCACCTGTTTACCTTCAGCAAGACCAGGCCGCCGAAGCAGTGCGCAATAAAGAGTAGTGGGCGGTATGGGTACACCTAACAACATTAAAAACGCTAATACTTCCAATACTTCTAATACGCAAAATGTGGACCTCTCTTTTCCGGCGTAAGGCTAACAGCAATCGCTGTGCCACCGGCGACGCCTTCTGCCGCATCGCTACTTCGCTAAACTATTGAGACTGGTATCCATATCGCATGACGCGCGCATGGGGTGCTACGGCTGGTAGCATGCTTCCTTGTCAAGCTAGTTGACCCACTGCGGGCTCTCCGCCGTGCCGACATTCTTGCACCAGGTGTTGTCTAGATAGGCCCCAATGCCGTGGATTGCAACGATACTAGAATAGCTTAGTATAGGTTTAGACGATTGAGGTACTGTAAAGGTAACCGTACTCGACGATCTCGGTAGCGTCCGCTGGTGCCTCGCGAAGCACTTTCAGCCCGATGTCGTCGTCCGTTACCGGCCGAACCTAGTTCCAGATTAAGTTAGCCTTGGCGCGCCTCATCCCTAAAACATTTCATACCATGGCTGCGCGTCAATACTGCCGCACAGCGCGTCTGCTTAAGCGGGGAGAGAAAAGATTTTGATCAGATAAAAAGGATTCGGGTGAGGAGATATGCAACCAGGCTGATTATACATCGGGCTGAGACGGGCAGCCCAGTCTGCCTGCGGCGAGGCTGAACTAAGTATGCAAGGCTGACCGACGACGTGCTTCACTGGCTGCCTGCTAGCTGTAGAGACATAGGCACTTTAGAATTATTTCGCACACTGAGCTAACTTAACCCAACTTTCCACTTCCGCACAGGCATGCCCCCATTTTCCAAAGCAAACCAGCTCGTTCACGATCTTGATCCTGGAGCTGGATCTCCGCCAATTACGACTCTGCCAGGCTAGCTTTGCATTATGCTCGGCGCCGCTGCTCGGATGAGACAACTCCTTGAAAAGGAGCTTTGGCCAAAGATCTAGAGGCGATGGCTCCGCGCCTCTGGATCATGACTACCCTCTCAAGCGCAAACATTAACCCTTTACAACGACAACTAGTTAAAGGTCGCGAGATTATTGTCACGGAAGAACCTTGGCTGCACCTGGTCTGGATACACGACTGCATATTTATTAAACCTATGCCACGGTATTTGCTCTCGCAAGCGTTCTGGGCAATGTACTTGGACGAGAGTTTTGACCGACGGGACGCTGGCTAGAGTGATCTTTGGAAGGCCGCGACTGGATTCGTACGGACATACCGTTACTTGATCCAGCATGAATCGGACTTCAACATTGCTCAGCAAGAACACCTTCGCCTTATCCCTAAGGACGTGGAATGGGCATTATTCTGCCAATTCATCTCAGAGCTTGATCACATCGAGGACTCGGCAGTGTCAAGGCGGTATTGGTATGGCGAGCTAAGGCTGACACGACTTAATTTTTATGCTCTGCTGCTCCTCGGCAAATTTTATTCCGAACAGGTCCATGGTTAATACGGAGATTTCTTTGGGCGGCTCTATGGACCTATACTCTTCGCATTCCCTATAGTTTCGACAACCTTAAATTCTATGCAGGTTGCTCTTGCTTCTGAGCAGCTTATGACTGCTCATTGGGAGCCACTTTGGTATGTGTCTCGCTGGTTTAGTATAGTAAGCCTGCTTGGAGCCGCTATTGTCTTGATGTGGTTCGTCCTGCTCTGGCTATGGATATTTCTGGATGAATGGATCTATACTTTCCTGAGTATTTTGCTTGGATGCTTACGAAAATTGATTCATTGGAAAGTGCGTGGTTTCTTCGACAATCCTAGACCTTTGCAGGCGATTTTTTTAGCGTTGCGCTGTCGCTTTTTGTCGCTGCAAATATAGTTGATTGTGGTAGGGGGGGGCGGGGGCGTATGGATAGTCGCCATCATTATATAAAGCTCATCAGTTATGCCTTTCTAAGGCCAATACTACCTAGGGGTACTAACATAGTTAACAAGCGTAAGATGCTCTATACTATTCTTAAGTAGGCTGTTAGTACAAGGCTTACTAATATTAAAGCTGCTATCTCTAGTCTGCTAAGCTCGCGGAAAATAATAGCAAATAGAATTTGGAATACAATAGGAATACATTACCACTGGCTCTGTAATTTAGGAATACATTACCACTGGCTCTGTAATTTAGGAATACATTACCACTGGCTCTGTAATTTAGACCTTGCGATTTTACCGCTTGAAAGAGGCCGCACTTATAGGAATGGTGTTGTGCCTTCCGGCTTTGGAAATCGTTTGAAACCCTAACCCCAGATGCCGCTTCATGATTTGCCTCTGAACTTCTAATGGCACATCCCTTGTATTCTCCTACGCGGCGCTGAGCTATGAGATCTCAAGATCCTTCTTCGTTATCCTAGTACAGTCTGTTAGTGGGTGTCAAGTATCAAAATGACTGGCACTAACCCATTTTGGAAACGGTGTGAAGGTATGCTTGATCCCAAGATATACTAGGGAACCTTCATATCGGTTCAATTCCAGCCCAGGATACAATTGGGTGCCTAGGACGTTGAACCAGGTCATATGGTCCATTATTCTACGAACGAAATCAATGTCGATTTGTAGCTGTTTGAAAAGAACAACCAGTTCCAGCCAAGATGTCAGGTACTGTCTGTCGCGATCTTCATAACAATGATAATGGTGCTTCGCCAATGTCTCCTTGACCCCTTTTCCAATCATCTCGTCGATATGCAGGAGAAATGGCTCGATGTCGGGTGTCTTTCCGATGCCGTCGGAGCAGGTGAGGTGGTATTCGGCTATCTCATATAATATCCACAGGCGCGGCTTGAAAGGCGGGTAAAAGTATATGAAGCCAGTGTTGCGGATGATGCCCGACATAGTCCGCAAGCCACAATAGAAGTATGATATTCCGGTGGTGATCGTGGATGCTGAGGCATGCATGTCCAGTCCGCCCAGATGTACGACCACGTTTGCGGCTCCAGTTCAGCTTGATGAAGGCGCAGGGTCTTCCCATCCGGATGAGGGTCCTCCCTCGTCTGTTAGAAGTGGC